TCAAAACACTGGTAGACCGTGCAAATCGGAACTGTGAAGCTCAGTTTCTCAGCACTGAACTCAACCATCTGAATTGGGCTCTACAGGCAAATGGCTACTCCAAAAATGAAATCCGAAGAGCTATCAAACCAAGAAAACAACACCAAACTGAAGAAGAAAACAGCCACACACAAATAAAGTATTTCTGCCATACATCAAAGGGGCCACAGACCACATGGGGAAACTTTTGAAAAAACACAACCTACAAACAGTATTCAAGCCCACCACAAAAATGCAGGAAATGTTACGGTCAGCAAAGGACAGAAGGGACCCCCTCACCACTGCAGAAGTAAGCTAGATACCTTGCAGTTGTGGCCAGGTATACATTGGAACCCCAAAACGAAACATCCACACCAGAATCAAAGAACATGAGAGACACTGCAGACTAAAACAACCAGAAAAAACATGCCCTAAAACAAGCTGGGCATGAAATTCTATTTCAAGATACTGAAATACTGGACAACACCAGTAATCATTATGTCAGACTGCACAGGGAAGCCATTGAAATCCACAAGCACCAGCAGAACTTCAACAAAAAAGGGGAAAGTTTGAAACTCAACAAAACTTTGCTTCCAGCTCTGAAAAATACAGCGTGCAAAAGGTCAACAACCTCTACCCAGCTACAAGGACCGGGGATCACTACACACAAAAGATCAGCTAATGACACCCATCAATCACAGTGACAGATAATCTCTTCTCCTTATCACAACAATACACCCACAACAAGACACACTAATCACCCATCTCCTGAATAGGAGAAAAGTCTATCTCACAACCATAAATACTCCACTCCCAAGCCAACTACACCAGAGCACAGAGTGCTGTCCTCTGAAGATGCCGGCCACAGAGACTGGCAAAATGTTAGGAAGAACAACCTTCAGAACATGGCCAAAGAGCCCGAAAAACCCACAACAACCATTAGATCTCGGCTGTGAAAGCCTTCGCAAATACATAGTTTGGTTTTGTTCATGCATATGATAATAAATTGTGCTTCATTGTGAGGTACAAGCATCCCAATGCGTTTTGCTTTTATTTCATATAATGAAAGTGACTCAAAGAAGACATCATATGAGCTAGATATGCCCTATTCTATTTTTATTCATTAATACACAATAGCATTGTGTATTAATGCACATTAATGCATTAAGGCACAATAGCACTTTGGTTTGAATAATAGAAGAATTACTTTTTCTGTTCTGGAGAAATGTTTTTTGTTTGTTTGAAGTATTTGTTAACTTAGCTGTGCCCATTCTTCTCAAAAGATTTCATACTGTAATCTGAGTTGATTGCTTTCTGCTATTCCACACTTCTTGCTGGAGTAATAGACTTTCTGAAGAAATTGTCAAACAGAATGTAAAAAAAGAATATTGTCTCAACTATAGACTAAACAAAATGTGTCATGTGGTTGCATGTGCTCACAGAGCCAATGTCCAAAGTGCCTGCTTTGCTAAGTTGAGTTTTGAAGATTGCACTGTTTGCATGCTTACTTTTCCAACTGAAAGACATTTGAACTGCAATTGATGGTAGGAGACATCCATGTTTCTTTCATTATACTGTCCTTATGCATTGCCAGGCAGAAACTGAGAAGCAAGAATCACAATCATACAATTGCTCATTTTGCAAGCCACTCATTGTGAAAGGCAGTGTATGGAACAATCAATCTAGCCCTAGAGTAGCTGAATAGTACAAAATATTATGTCTTACAATGAATAATGTTTTGTATCATTGTTTTATAGCTTGCAATTTATTTCAAGTGTTATGTCTTTTTTTCCTTTATATAGCTTCAGAATTTTTTTACTAAAATGACACATTCTGAAATTTAAGGGGGATCCAAGAATCCAATGTATGTGTTGTAAAGGAAAAGCTAAATGCAGAAACATTTTCTGTTTGTTAGAAACAATTACCATGCAAAATTAAAATAAACTATAATATAGCCAAAGAAGACCGCTAAGAATAATAATAAGAATAATTGGAGTAAATGTAGAATCTCCTTCGTACTTGTGGGTGGTAAAACAGGGTAAAATATATAGCTCAGGATTGTGCCAGCATCAGGGGAATTGTAATTATAGAAGTGAAATACCTGTTTATGTTGTTTATGAGCTCTTGTTAGCTTCATGACTGAATTTTATAAATTCCTAAGAGGCACTGTGATCTGTTGGGATTTGGGAGGGAGGAATCATGTGTTTCAAGACCTGTTCTTTCTTACTTTGGCGTATTAGAGGATGATTCAAATATATTTAGAGTTAAGAAAGATGCATTGTTTAAATACGTCAGTTATGCCATACAGTGGTGCCTCGCTAGACGATGATAATCTGTTCCACTGAAATAGCTGTTTAGTGAAATCATTGTCTAGCGAAAAGCATTTCCCCATTGGAATGCATTGAAACCTGTTTAATGCGTTCCAGTGGGGAAGAATTGTCGTCGTATAGCAAGGATCGGCCATAGGAAAGCCGCTTTGCGAACAGCCAATCAACTGTTTTTAATCGCTGCCTTGCAAAAAACAGGCCCCCAAACACCTGCTTTGTGAGGATTGCCCCTAGGGAAGCCATTTTGCAAACCGCCAATCAGCTGTTCTAAATCGTCGTGTTGCGAAAAAACTCTCCGTGAAGCACGGACCAAATTGTCATCCATCTAAATTCCCCCATAAGAATCACTGTTTTGCAAAGCAAAATGGCTGCCTCAAAACGTCGTCATCATGCGGATTCATTGTTTTGAGGGGTAACCATCTTGTGAGGTACCACTGTATTTAGAAGAAAAACTGGAATTGGTTATCCATACAACATTAAATAGTCTTGTGGCATATTGAAGATTATGAAATCTACTATGTCCCCATAAATGCAGCAGCCTGACATACTTATGGCTCTGAAAATGCATAGAACATTACTGGTAGTAAATGTGTGAGCATAGAATATGGAATTTCCATGGGATCCTGGTCGTATGGTGGTGTAATATCAAAGTTAATTTTTTTAAGGCAGATTCTCACCCTCCCATTTGAAATTATTTTTTCTCTGCTGTTCATTGTAAATTCCAGAACACATCTGGCATTTAACTGTGCCATTGTTCATTAAAGACTTCAAATTATACACTGATTTGATTCCTCAGGGCTGTGTAACATTTGTTTCATCTAAAATGCACTTCCTGAAGAAGAATCCCTACTACAATCATCAGTGTAGAATCTGGATTCAAGTTCCAGTGCCAGCTTCCTGGTTCTGCCCTCTCAGGCGCAGCTCATCACAGAAAAGTAACTTGTGCAGTTGAGAGTGTGAGGATGGGGTAAAACGTTATTGCTTTAGACAGATAAATTTTGACATAGCTCTACAATCTAAGCTTTAGTGCCACTGTGGAATCAAAATTAATTGTGGTGTCCTGTATGAGAGAAATAAGGCTGACTTTGGTACTTCAGTTTGATTAAATGTTATAGTTTTAAAAATTATTTCAGAAGTTCACCTCCTGACTAATACACTGAATGTCGTACAGACTTCTATGGTAGTTTATTTTTAGAGAGCTAGCAGCGTTATATGTTGGAGGAGCACATACATATGCTCTTGTCTTTTCCAACACTCACTTTCGTGACATTGTTAAAGCTATACATTGTAGTTAAGTGAGTCAGTGTTCTCTTTTAGCTTTTCTAACCTGTGATTATATGGGAGTTCCTGCTTCTTTTACAGTGAGTTGGCAGACAGAAGGCTAAATCAGTCCCAAATACTTACAGTTTCTACATCAGAAAATTTGCTTTGTAAATGATAATTATTAGTGGAATACCTAGTTCACATATAGGATGGAAAATACCATCAACACCGTTTCCCCATGTTTATCATTTTGTTATGTATGAGAGCTTGTCTGTTACTGTTTATCCAAAGTGAAGATGATGAGCATCAGGATGCAAGGCAAATCTGTGTCCTACTTGATAAATGGAATGCATTTCAATGTGTTTTGATTTTATGTCTAAGTTTAAACCATTACCATTTTGTAGAACTGATTTAGGAGACCTTATGGCAGGGCTGAGATCTGTCCCCCCCCCAAAAAAAAAGATTCATTGAATGGCAGATCCCATAATCTCTGACCATTTTGATTATTCGGTGGGATTGATGGGAACTACAGTAAAATCTAACAATGTCTGGAGGGCCACAGGTTTCTCACTTCCTGTTTATGGAGTACAAGAACATTGAGCAAGACCAGTCCAGGGCAATATCTCACTCAATACCCAGTTCTGTAGCACCCATCCTAAGATTTCCTGCCCTTCTGTTGAGGGTGAGAGTACAAAAAAACTGCTTAAATATCAATGAACTTGATTACTATTATAATTGAATTGTACAATATTTTGATTACATTCTTTGAAAGACATTTGGCTGATTTTAGAACATGGCAGGACGCACACATAGGTGGAACAACTGTTATTGTTCCTTAAGGAACCCTATTCTTGGGAAAGGCTTCAAAATAGAATAAATAGAGCACAGTTTGATAGCATTATATATTTCTGTTTAATCTGAAGGAAAGACAGATGCCCACAAAACCTGATTAGATGTAAGGCTGTGGTTTGAACAAACCTCCTCTTCTTTAAATAGGTACATATGTGGGTTCTTGACATTAACCACAGAATCGTCTACTAAAATAGTAAGTGCTGCTTATCTCTGGAAACTTTCCCATCAATGCCAGGATTTACTGGAAGCAGATACTGAATTGGTATAAATGTCTGAAGAATATTTCAAAAATGTAAGACAGAATGAATTAGAGAGGGGAAAAATTTTAGTGTGGAAGTACTTCAGCATCATTTAATGCTCTCTTTGTTTACATATTGAAAACTGCTTTCAGAAAAATTTGTGTTCTAATTTATATTGAAAATATATGTACAAAATACTGAAAGCACATATTTTAATTGCTATTATCAATGACTGTCCATAGGCTGGCTCAGCATATCTTCACTGTTGTGTAATATCAAATGTTTTGTATGTGTTTTCTAGGATTATTTAACCATTCACAAGTATGGCAATGCTGCTAGAAATGACCTATGGAACACTCTTTCAGAGGTAAAGGAATTTAATGTACCTAAGAGATGAGGATGGTTGTTACTTTAGGCTAACTGGAAAATTACATGCCAATATGTTCTTGAAGTGTTTAGAAAAGCAGCTTATGCTTTGGCCTGCTAAAGGCCACTTCCCCTAGAGCAGGTGATGATTCTGAATAGCTCTGATGTCAGAAGCCATTAAAAAACCCTTCTCATATATCCCCGAAGGGCAGAGCTACTATTTTTTAATGTTGGTTTTCTTTATATATACTATTTAGTTCTGTTTAATATTTAATCTAAATCCAGTAGTCAAGTTTGCTGCTCTTGTTTCTTGTCAGTTTCTGATGTTGAAGTAAAATATATAGAGATATAATTGTTTGGAGCTTCACTTGTTACTGGATTTTTTGGGTTTTTTTAGTTGAAACTGAGTATAAGGGAATATAAGCATATTATGTCTTGGAGCTATTTTAATCATGCATCCTGTCTTGAAAGTTTTTGATGTGTTTTTGAAATCTTAAAGTTTGTTTAAAGCAGTTGCATTAGTTTGTTTTATAAGAGACTTTAAGATGGAACAGCTTCTTTTAAAACATTCTAACACATCTGCATAGAGCACATTATATGAATTTCTGTACCATTGTTCTTCATAATATTACAATGATGATCACTTTATCTCTAAAAGGTAGGGAAATATTGGAAGTATATTACCTGTATATTAAATCAGTTTTATATTGTGTTTTGTTTGAAGACACTTCGCAAAGTTGGAAAATTTGTGAATATCCAAGTAGTAATGGATCAATGGACTCTTCAGATGGGTTATCCTGTTATCACCATCATGGGAAATGAAACTTCAGACAATATTGTGGGAATCTCCCAAGAACACTTTGTTTATGATCTTGGCATTAAAGCCAAAGATACTGGTCTTGGAAACAACAGGTATGTATTTGTCCTGGTATAAGTACTGCAATTTTCAGTTGTCATAGTGCAATTATTTTGTAAACAGAAGTATTCACGTAAATGGTTGAATGAAGAACTATGACTATTGATATTAAGTAATACTGTTTGAATAAATATTGTCTGCTAGATTATTTGGAGATGTTATATTAGAAAACTGAGAAAATAACAAAAGTCTAAACATTTCCAGCATTTAATTTTTAATTTATATTTCCTCTTAAATCTGCACATTTCTACATAGATAGAGATATAAAAATGCATATTTCTGCATGTATCTTAAGGCCTTATAATTCAGAATGTCAATAATCCATTCTTGTATTGTATCCCAGTTAGTTTACCATGTGTTAACTTATACTAATGGGATAGCACAGTAGTAAGGACAGTTCATCATTAGCTCAAGGACAAGAAAGATTTCTTGGTGTTTCATTACTGAAGGTCTACTAAGCTTTGCAGAGATATGTAAGTGATAAATCCATTAATTAGCTTATTTAGACAGTTGATTACCAAAATTGGGGTGTGCCATCTTTTTGAATATGTCTGCATTTATTAAAATGCTGGGATGCTGTGGTTCAAGTAGGATTTCTTGTCAGTGGAAGCCTGTAGAAATTATCATTACTTTGTTTTAATTTCAACCACTATCACTTATGAATCTTCTGCTACATGTGCTTCTGCATTTTTAGTCGTATATGCATATATTCGTACCTGATATACTTCAGCTGTGACCTACAAATGCTAGTAATTTGAAATCACAGTTCTAGATTTAATGCCCAGTCTTTTGGAATATCACAGCTGTAGATTCTGTGTTTAGGAAATGTGATAACCAGCCTGTATTTATTCAGTTCTGTCCTTTTTTAGAGTTCCTATTATTTTTTCATTAAATAGACGACATTACAAATTTTTGATAAATTTAGGGCTTTCTGCTTTTTTTTTGGCATGTCTTTCACAAATCATTTATCATGTTGAGTCTCATAAAACATGTTGCCACTGCATGTGTTGGATAGTAGGTAAGGACTGAAAACAGGATGTGTTTTGTGTGCTGTAAGGTAATATAATATGTCACCTACAACATTCTATATAAAGCTGGTTTCTGTGAAAGAAAACAATATGCATATATATTTTATAACACAACCATTTTCAGGAGTCATCATACCCTTTAAAGCTGGATGCAGTATGAAGGTTAAATAATAACAGTAATTTCTTCCTTTGGTGTAGCTGCCGTATATTATCTCATTTTAATAAAACTTAAACCCATTAGAGTTTTGTTGGGATGTCTGCGCAACCCTGTTATTAGCTACTTGCTTTGTATTTTAACTTGTTGGTTTCTTAAGTCAATTTATATCCCACTTTTTCCCCATCAAGAAACTCTAGCTGGTGACCAGATCTAGGCCCACATAATGTTAGCAAGTTAGCTGTATCATGTATACTTAGACCATGTCCAGATGTTAATCTTTGCCATTCATCAATGCACTGTAGGTTATCATCTAAATATACCAGCTGCAAATGATTTCTTCCTAAATTTATCAAACTAATGTGAATGAAAGGGCCATCCAGAATGGTTGAGCACATGCTGTGTATGCAGAAAGTCTCAGGTTGATCCCCAGTGTCTTCAGTAGTACTAGGAAACAATTCTGTCTGAAGCCCTGGGAAGATGCTGCCAATCACAATTAACTGTACAGGGTTAGACAGCGTAACGGGCTGGATCTGTATTATCTGTACATATGTTCCTGTGATTTGGTGAGGATGATGATGTTCCTGTGATTTGTTGCTAGGATTCCTTCATGAACATGTATGTTTATTTTGCTTTTTGTGTACTTTTTTTTCTCCTGATACCTAATTCTTTTTTTAAAAATTGACCAAATATATTCAGGGACTAGAATCCTGTTGTTTAGTGTAGTAAGTTGACTAGAATAGGTACATTGAATCAATTGGGATTTGATGAGTCAACCCTTCTGTAAGTTCCATTGATTCAAATGGGCCTACTCTGGTTGTAATTCATTTAAGCATAGTAAGTTGCCATTAGAGTAGGCCCATTAGACTCTATGGAATTTATGGAGGAGCTGACTCACCAAATCCCCATGGATTCAATCTGTCCACTGTAGTCTGACTTATTATATTAAGCAACAGGATTTCAGCCAGTGAATCCATGGCATTTGTTGTGTCATGAACAGGTTATAATTTATTCAACATCTTATCCACTATCTCAGGTCATATTTAATATGGCACTGGTCAACTAGTAATGTATATAATAAGCCAGAATGCCAGTATGATTGTATATACTCACTAGGTTTTTCTAACCATTTTTCTGTCAGTTATGTTTTTCTGTACTGATAGTGTTTTGAGAAAGCCTTTTTGTCTCTATGTCTATTTGTATTATTTGTTAAGAAAGCAGTCCTGATTAGGGATTGTCAGCGCTACTTTTTCTTTCTTTCTTTCCATAACTTTCAGCTTAATGAAGCACACATTCATTCCATCTTGATTTCTGCATCAGTTGGTAGATTTTTCTTTTTAAAAAGCAAAAATGCATACAGGCGTACCTCAGTTTATGACTTTAATATGTTCGACGGGACATTACGTACTGTGGAAAAATCGTAAACTGAAACACGGATTGCCATAGGAATGGGAGGCAGTGCTACAAACCTTCAGACACAATGCATCCTGGGGAAACTTTCTTCGTACTCTGAAAAAAAACCCCTGTAAACCAAGGCATTATTTTCAATGGATTTTGCTTTGTAAACAAAAATTGTTTGTTTGTTTGTTTGTTTGTTTGTTT